TAAACCCTCAGTCCCCCTATTCTCCCCCCACCCCCACTAACCCCTCAGTCCTCCTATTCTCCCTACTCTCCCACTAACCCCTCAGTCCCCCTATTCTCCCTACTCCCACCAACCCCCCAGTCCCCCTATTCTCCCCACTCTCCCCACTAACCCCCAGTCCCCTATTCTCCCCACTCTCCCCCACTAACCCCTCAGTCCCCCATTCTCCCCCACCTCCCCACTAACCCCCAGTCCCCCCTATCTCCCCCACTTCCCCACTAACCCCTCAGTCCCCCTATTCTCCCCCTACTCTCACTAACCCCTCAGTCCCCCTATTCTCCCCCACCTCCCCACTAACCCTCAGTCCCCCTATTCTCCCTACTCTCCCACCAACCCCCAGTCCCCCCTATTCTCCCTCACTCTCCCCCACTAACCCCTCAGTCCCCCTATTCTCCCTACTTCCTCCCCCCACTAACCTCCCCTCTATTGATTGTCACGTGGTGTCTTATTACGTCTTTTAGGTGTGTGCTGCCTCCTCTTCCTAATCCTCTCCTCCTCTTCTTCCCTCCTCCTCCTACGTATTCTCTTATTCCTCATCCTGTTATTCTTCTTCCTCCTCTTCCTCCTCTTCCTCTATTCTAGCTTCTCTTCTTTCTCTTCCTCCTCATTCCTCTTCTTTCTCTTCCTCCTTCTTCTTCTTCTTCTTCCTCTTTTCTTCATTCTCTTCCTTTTTCTTCTCTTCCTTTCTCTTCCTCCTATTCTAGCTTCTCTCTTCTTCCTCTTCATTCCTCTTCTTTCTCTTCCTCCTTCCTCCTTCTCCTCCTTCCTCCTCTCTTCCTCTTCCTTCATCATCACAGGAGATTTGCTTTGGGTTAATGTGTGGTATGGTGTATTGAAGCTATGTGGGGGAGTGATGGTGGTGGTAGGTGTGGTGTGTGAGTTTAGTGGTGGTGGTGAGTTTAATAGTGGTGGTGGGAATTTAGTGGTGGTGGTGGTGGTGGTGGGAGTTTAGTGGTGGTGATGGGAGTTTAGTGGTGGTGGTGGTGGGGTTTAGTGTGGTGGTGGTGGTGGGAGTTTAATGGTGGTGGTGGGGTTTAGTGGTGGTGGTGGGGAGTTTGGTGGTGGGTTGGTGGTGGTGGGGATTTTAGTGGTGGTGGTGGGGAGTTTGAGTGGTGGTGGGGAGTGTGGGTGGTGGTGGTGGGGAGTTTGAGTGGTGGTGTGGGGTTTGGTGGTGGTGGTGGGGTTTAGTGGTGGTGGGGAGTTTGAGGTGGTGGGGAGTTTAGTGGTGGTGGTGGTGGGGACTTTGAGTGTGTTGGTGGGGGTTGGTGTGGTGATGGGAGTTTAGTGGTGGTGGGAGTTTAGTGGTGGTGGGGGTGGGAGTTTAGTGGTGGTGGTGGTGGGAGTTTAGTGGTGGTGGGTGTTGGTGGTGGGGAGTGGTCTGGAGGTGGTAGATGTGATAGTTGTAACAGTGGTATGGGGTGGTGGTTGAATAGTGGTTGTTGTTAGTTAGATTGTAGTTCGTCCTCCACCCACTGTCTTCCTCACCCCCACCTACCTGTCTTCCTCCACCCCCTACCTGTCTTCCTCCACCCCACCACCTGTCTTCCTCACCCACCTGTCTTCCTCCCACCACCTACTGTCTCTCACCCCACCTACCTTCCTCCACCCACCTACCTGTCTTCCTCCACCCACCCCTGTCACCTCCACCCACCCACCTGTCTCCTCCACCCACCTACCTGTCACCACCACCCACCTGTTCACCCCTACTCCCTCCCCACCACATAACTCCTTTCCTCACCTAACCTAACCTCAACCTCTCTAACCCTAACCTAGCCTAACCTAACCTAACTTAACTTAACTTTCATTCTGTTTACTTTCACATCATCTAACTGCCCTATCTCTCTCCTTTTCGTAACTATCTTTAACCTTACCTGACCTTACGTCATTAACTCTGACCTATCGTGACCTTTCTCGCTCATACTTTGCCTTTAATGTGACCTTTCGTTGCCTTAAATAACCGGTTGGATGTGCCCCGTTGGAGAGGCTATTGGTCGATGCCTCTGACGTTGCATGGCCTGATTGGTGTTTTTTTTTATGACGTATTGTACTGTGTTGTGATTGGCTGGGCGTATATGACGTAATGTGTTTAGATTGGTGGATTGTATATAATATGGTGTAATTTATTCGTTGGTTATCTATGACGTAGAGTGTGTTGTTGGTGTCTTTGACGTTTTTCATTCTTATTGGCTTATGCCCGTGACGTAATGTGTACTGATTGGTTGGCGTGTATGACGTCGATTATTCCTATTCGTTGGTATCTGTGATGTAGTGTGCGCTGATTGGTGGTTGTGTATGACGTAGTGTATTCTGATTCATTGATCTTTACGACGATGTTTACTCTGAATGGCTGATGGAGATGCCTTGAGCGTCATCTGATTGGCTCTTACGTTGTAGATAAGAGTGTTATGATGGCCAGCATAACATTGCCTTAACAGAAGTAATAAGCTATAGCCTGTTAACTGGCCATCATGTTAAGGCTATCATGTTAAGGCTATCATGTTAAGGCTATCATGTTAAGGCTATCATGTTAAGGCTATCATGTTAAGGCTATCATGTTAAGGCTATCATGTTAAGGCTATCATGTTAAGGCCATCATGTTAAGGCCATCATGTTAGCTATCATGTTAAGGCTATCATGTTAAGGCTATCATGTTAAGGCTATCATGTTAAGACCCATCATGTTAAAACCATCATGTTAAAACTATCATGTTAAGGCTATCATGTTAAGGCTATCATGTTAAGGCTATCATGTTAAGGCCATCATGTTAAGGCTATCATGTTAAACTGTCACATGTTATTACACCTTTAACAACTGGTCTGTGGGCACAATCTCCTCTCCACTATCTCCTCATACTATCTCACTATCTCCACTATCTCCACTCATACTATCTCCACTATTCTCTCACTATCTCCACTATCTCCTCCTTATATCTCCACTATCTCCACTCATACTATCTCCACTATCTCCACTCATACTATCTCCTATCTCCACTCATACTATCTCCACTATCTCCACTCATACTATCTCCACTATCTCCCACTACTCCTCATACTATCTCCACTATCTCCACTCCTTCTCCCACTATCTCCACTCATACTATCTCCTATCTCACTATCTCCTCATACTATCCCCACTATCTCCACTATCCCACTCATACTATCTCACTATCTCCCTCATACTATCTCACTATCTCCACTATCTCCTAAGCCCGTATGAAGGGCAATACCTCACACTAACTCATCAAGAATCGAAACTTTTATACAAGTCAACAAACTTTTCCTACCAATAACATCAATGGTAAGACTCTGGTTAGGTTAGGTTAGGTTAGGTTAGGTTAGGTTAGGTTAGGTTAGTCATGGTTAGGTTAGGTTAGGTTATGTTAGGTTAGGTTAGGTTAGTCTAGTCATGGTTAGGTTAGGTTAGTCTCGCCAGGAGGGTTTGTTTACATGATGTGGTAATTGACTTGTGAATCCTAGCGAGAGACTGCAGATGTGAAGACGAGGCTGGTTATTAATAGTGTGTAGTAGTAGTAATAGTAATAGTAGTAGTAGTAGTAATAGTTGGGGAAGGTGGGTGAAAGGTGAGAAGGGAAGGAGGACGAAAAGGGGGTGTAATTATAACCACAAACTTAAAATAGGCATCTGAAATCTGTCAACGCGGACATTTGTGAATATTCCTTTAGCTTCCCCCTAACACCATCCTCGCCTTCTGTTTATGTGGTCCTCCCGCCCTGCAACGATGTCTTTCCCTCTGTTTACTTCCGTCACCTGACAGTAACATGGCGGGTTTTTATAGTTGCTAATATCAATAAAAAGCCAATGGTGCAGGAGTCGGCGGCACAAGGCTGTCAGCTATAACGACATGATGGTTGTGAGGGTGTAGATGGAGGCATGATGGCGGGGTGTTAGACCATGATAGGTTAACAGTCCTAACATCAGAATTTGCGCGCGCTTTTTCTACCTAGTACCGACCAGCTGACTTGATGTAAACAATCAGCTTAGTTATTGAGGTGTATTTTTTCCCAGCAAATTTCCCCCACCCAGCTGTATTTTCCCCACCCTATCTTAATTCCCCCTCCCTGTCGACGTAATTCTCCCCCTCGACGTCCCGTGATGCCATTTGACGTAATTCCGTTGACGTCGTGTTTTGTAGGTTTGTGTTTAGTGTAATGTTATTCTTATTGTCTGTGTTATTATCCGGTTCCTCTTCTTCCTCCTCTTCTCCCTTCTTCTCATTTCGTTAGCTTCATTTCTCTTCCAATACTATTCCCTCTTCTCATCTCTCCTCCTCCATCACCTCCTCCATCTTCACCACCATCCTCCACCTCCCCCCTCCTCCAATTTCACCTCACCCCTCCCTCCCCCTTCTCCACCCCACCCCTCCCCTCCCTCTCTCCCATGTCAATCTTCCCAGAAAATTGTGGCTGAATTGAAGTGACAATCAGAGTCAGGCAGTCCTCTCACTCACCCCAGAGCCTTTGTTTTTTACCTCCCCTCCCTTACCCTCTCCCTTACCTCTCCTTACCCTCTCCCCTCTCCCCTGCTCCCCACTTTCATCTTTTCCCTCTTTTCCTCTCTTCTTCCCTCTTCCTTTCCTTGCACCTCTCTCCTACCTTCTTCATTATTTTGCTCTTCCTCTTCACTTCCTCTCCCCTTTCTTCATCCCCCTCCCCTCCCCTCCCTCCTTCCTTCCTTCCTTCCTTCCTTCCTTCCTTCCTTCCTTCCTTATTTTCCTCACTCGCCTTCAGGACAGCTCTTGTTTCTTCCTTTGGACTGGTGTAAAGCATTACATTTTTACATCAAATTCTTGGAAGACATTTCAAGTGACACTCAAGGAAGACATACTAAGGAGGACACACTGATATACATAAATATATACATACGACATAATATACATACAGGTATACTTTGATATATAATGTAATAGTGACAGGTGTTTAATGTTTTTGTTTTTAATTACAGGTGATGTGGCCTCAACACCTTCATGGTGATGGACGAACAGGTAATTATCTCCTTCTTTGTTATCTCTTGTCATTTTCTTCCTTCTTTCCTTCCTTTCTTCCTTCCTTCATTCATTCCTTCACTATCATCATCCTTCCTTCTTTCACTATCATCATTCATTCATTCATTCATTCATTCATTCACTATCATCATCCTTCCTTCATTCACTATCATCATTCATTCATTATCATCCTCCTTCCTTCTTTCACTATCATCCTTCATTCATTCATTCATTCATTCATTATCATCCTCCTTCCTTCTTTCACTATCATCCTTCATTCATTCATTCATTCATTATCATCCTCCTTCCTTCTTTCACTATCATCCTTCATTCATTCCTTCATTCATTCCTTCACTATCATCCTCCTTCATTCACCTATCATCCTTCATTCCATTCATTCATTCATTATCATCATCCTTCCTTCATTCACTCATCATCCTTCATTCATTCATTCCTTCACTATCATCATCCTTCCTTCATTCACTATCATCCTTCATTCATTCATTCATTCATTATCATCATCCTTCCTTCATTCACTTCTCATCCTTCATTCATTCCTTCACTATCATCATCCTTCCTTCATTCACTATCATCCTTCATTCATTCAATCATTCATTATCATCCTCCTCCCCTTTTATCTCTCTCTCTCTCTCTCTCTTCCCTTCTCTTTTCTCTTCTCCTCTCTCTCTCTCTCTCTCTCTCTCTCTCTCCCTCCTTTATCAGCATTACTCGTGTCTCTACTAACATTATCCTCTTGTAATACTTCGTAATTTCTTTTTCAGTTACCACCATTGTGAGTCGCCAGCAGCAACCACAATCACCAGTATCAACCACAATCACCAGTATCAACCACAATCACCAGTATCAACCACAATCACCAGTATCAACCACAATCACCAGTATCAACCACAATCACCAGTATCAACCACAATCACCAGCTATCACCATTAGGTAATTCTAAATTTGATGTTGCCTCCTCCACCTCCTCTTATTATTCCTCCTCTTCTTCCTCCTCGTCCTCCTTCTTCCTCCCCCTCCTTCACCTTCTCTCCTCTTCCTTCCACATCTCTCCTTCTCTCTCCTCTCCTATCTTTCCTCTCCCTTTATCCTTCACCTATCCTTCTCTCATCCCTCCCCTCCTTCCTCACCTCTATCCATTGTGAGTAAGATTATACTGAGGGTAACTGGTGCTACTGAGGTAACTAGTGCTACTGAGGGTAACTGGTGCTACTGAGGGTTAGTGCTACTGAGGTAACTTGTGCTACTGAGGGTAACTGGTGCTACTGAGGTAACTGGTGCTACTGAGGGTAACTAGTGCTACTGAGGGTAACCTGAGGGTCTTCTGAGGTGCTGCTACTAGGGTAACTGGTGCTACTGAGGTAACTGGTGCTACTGAGGTAACTGGTTGCTACTGAGGTAACTTGTGCTACTGAGGGTAACTGGTGCTACTGAGGGTAACTAGTGCTACTGAGGGTAACTGGTGCTACTGAGGGTAACTTGTGCACTGAGGGTAACTGGTGCTACTGAGGTAACTGGTGCTACTGAGGGTAACTGTGCTTCTGAGGGTAACTGGTGCTACTGAGGGTAACTGGTGCTACTGAGGGTACTTGTGCTGCTGAGGGTAACTGGTGCTACTGGGGTAACTAGTGCTACTGGGGTGCTGGTGTGCTACTGGGGTAGCTAGTGCTACTGAGGGTAACTTGTGCTGGGGTGGCAGTGCTACTGGGGGTAACTTGCTACTGGGGGTAACTGGTGCTACTGAGGGTAACTGGTGCTACTGAGGGTAACTGGTGCTACTGAGGTATACTGGGGTAACTGGTGCTACTGAGGGTAACTAGTGCTACTGAGGGTAACTGGTGCTACTGAGGGTAACTTGTGCTACTGGGGTAACTGGTGCTACTGGGGTAACTGGTGCTACTGAGAGTACTTGTGCTTCTGAGGGTAACTGGTGCTTCTGAGGGTAACTGGTGCTACTGAGGGTAACTGGTGCTGAGGGTACTGGTGCTGCACTGGGGTACTTGTGCTATGAGGTGCTGGTGCTACTGGGGTAACTAGTGCTACTGAGGTAACTGGTGCTACTGAGGGTAACTGGTGCTGCTGAGGGTAACTGGTGCTACTTGAAAAAAGGAACAGCGAGGCAGGGTGGTTGGGGGAGCTCCTTAAGAGAACTTTGACTGAACTTTCTCCTCTAAAAGTTTTAAAAATCTCTAAGTCGCTACTGAGAGAAGGGAGAAAAAATTCTTATCAGAAATTCCTAAGTAATTCTGTGTTTGTGTGAGAGAATTTTATGGGATTTTGTTTTGTTGTTTTGTTGTTGTTTGTTGTTGTTTTTGCTGTTGAAAATAAGTAGAATATCGTAATTTTTTATTTTTTTTATTTAATAAAATCTTACTGACCTGACCTGACCCCAATGATAGTCTTACTGTCCTGACCCCAATGATAGTCTTGCTAACCTAACCTGACCCCCCAATGATAGTCTTACTAACCTGACCTGACCTGACCCCAATGATAGTCTTATAACCTGACCCCCAATGATAGTCTTACTAACCTGACCTGACCCCCAATGATAGTCTTACTAACCTGACCTGACCCCAATGATAGTCTTACTAACCTAACCTGACTGACCCGACCCCAATACTCTCACTTATAATAATGTTGCAACCTCTGAACGTTTCTGCTTATTGCAATTGCATAACCCCGTGAGATGGCGTTATATTGTAGAGGTGTAATGGCCCATAGAGGCGTGGTGATAGTGGTTGAGGGTAATGGTGTCAGTAGTGAAGGTAGAACCTGGCTGTATGGTGTGTGTGTGTGTGTGTGTGTGTGTGTGTGTGTGTGTGTGTGTGTGTGTGTGTGTGTGTGTGTGCCTGTCTGTATATGTGTGTTTTTGTGTTTTTCTTTGTGTGTGTGTGTGTGTGTGTATATTTGTGTTGGTGTGTGTTTTTGTATGTATGTATGTATGTATGTATGTATGTATGTATGTTATGTGTATGTATGAACTTTTATGTCATATTGGTAGCCATTTTATGTGTGTCGACGCTGCAAAATGGCGTTACTCATATTTTAGGGAATTATCTAGGGAAGATTTCTCAGCGTTATTTGGTTGGGGGTGAGGGAGGTGGGGAGGTGGGGAAGTGAGAGCTATGGTGTGTTTCCACTTGGCGCTTGAGAGGGGGGGGTGGGGAGGGGGGACAGACAGATAGACAGAGAATGAGACAGTCTGGGATGTCTTTCGTGGCTTCTGGTGTTTGTGAGAGGCAGACAGACAGATAGACAGACAGACGGGACAAACAAAAAGATAGACAGAAACAGATAGACGGACAGAGAAAAGGGACAGATAGATACAGACAGAGAAAAGACAGGTACAGACAGATGCGGAGACAGACAGACAGACACAGACAGATAGACAGATATTCACCACTCGAAGCGGAATCTGAAATAGACACCAGGAATATTTATTGAATATAAGATCATAAGAGAAGATAAAAGTGATGTTGGAGACAGGTGTTGGAGACAGGTGTTGGAGACAGGTGTTGGAGACAAAGGTGTGGGGAAGGAAGTGTTGGAGGCAGGGATTAATTTGGCCTTGTTCTTGGCCTTTGGTGAGTCATTCCCCCCACCAATACACATTCCACAACCCCACATCATCAAATATCCCCCACCACCCCATATTTTTTCCACACACTTTTATATTTTCCCCCACCACCCCATATTTTTCCCCACCACCCATATTTTTTCCTACCACCCATATTTTTCCCCCACCACCCCATATTTCCCCACCCATTCCATATTTTTCCCCCACCACTCCATATTTTCCCCCCACCGCCCCATATTTTTCCCCCCCACCACCCCATATTTTCCCCCACCACCCCATATTTTTCCCCCCACCACCCATATTTTTTCCCCACCACCCCATATTTTCCCCCACCACCCACCCCCACCACCCATATTTTCCCCACCACCCCATATTTTTCCCCACCACCCCATATTTTTCCCCCACCACCCCATATTTTTCCCTGCCACCCACCAAATCATACAGTAATGTACTTTCAAATTCATTCCCGTCTTGTCGCTCACTACGCCGCGCCAAGGTCTTCCACATAACAGCCTCTTGCCCCGACCCTTTCATTCACTGACTTGTGATGTTAGAATGAAATGTCAAGATGCAATGGAATTCTTTCATTCAGTGGGATGGCTATAAGGGCTTCTGTCTCCTTATGTGTGTATGGGAGTTTCGCTCTTATGGGGACGAGTTGGGGGAGAGGATGGGGAGATTGTGTTGGATTCTCTCTCTCTCTCCATTCTCTTCCTCCCATTTCTCCGCCCTCCCCCTTCCCCTTACCCTTTCCCCCCTCCCCCCTCCCCTTACCCTTTCCCCCCCTTCCCCCCTGTGCACCTTTGAATTCATTTGCCTGCTAGTTGTTAAGGATGTGCTAGCAAGCGACTGTAATGACAATAGCACCGGCGTCAGGATATTGCCTCTAGCTGCAGGGAAACAACTTTATCCCGTTTAACAGCAGCTGTACCCGTGGCAACAGCAGGAGTAAACAGCAGCACCACTTATACAGCAGGAACAGCAATATATATATACTGTATACTTCTGGTTCCACGGACAGTCATTTTGCGAATTGTATGGTACTTGGGTTAAATAGGTCCCAGTTCTTACCAGGCCCCAGTTCTTACCAGGCCCCAGTTCTTATCAGGCACTAGTTCTTATCAGGGCCAGTTCTTATCAGGCCCCAGTTCTTATCAGGCTAGGCAGTTCTTACCAGGCCCCAGTTATTATCAGGCACTAGTTCTTATCGGGCCCCAGTTCTTACCAGGCCCCAGTTCTTACCAGGCCCCAGTTCTTATCAGGCACTAGTTCTTATCAGCTTTCAGTTCTTATCAGGCACCCCAGTTCTTATCAGGCCCCAGTTCTATCATCAGGCCCCAGTTCTTATCAATAGGCCCCAGTTCTTATCAGTCTCCAGTTCTTAGCAGGCCCCAGTTCTTATCATCAGGCCCCAGTTCTTATCAGGCCCCGGTTCTTAATAGCCCCCAGTTCTACCAGGCTGTGAAGTTCTTACCAGGCCCCAGTTCTACCAGGCCCCAGTTCTTATCAGGCACTAGTTCTTATCAGGCCCCAGTTCTTAGGCAGGCCCCAGCGCCCTTAACAGCACCAGTTCTATCATGCCCCAGTTCTATCGGGCCTGTCTTTTATCAGCCCAGTTATTAATATCGTGCACCAGTTCCCATCAGGCACTCAGTTCTTATCAGGCCCTGTTTCTTATCATCAGGCCCTGCCCTTACCAGGCCCCAGTTTCTACCACAGGGCCCCAGTTCTTATCAATAGGCCCTCAGTTCTTAGCAGGCCCTGCTCCCATCAGGCCCCAGTTCCTAGTAGCAGGCCCCCGGTTCTGTCATCAGCCCCAGTTCTACCAGGTCCCAGTTCTTAGCAGGCCCCAGTTCTTATCAGGCCCCAGTTCTTATCAGGCCCCAGTTCTTATCAGGTCCCAGTTCTTATCAGGCCCCAGTTCTTGCCAGGCCCCAATGACATTATAATTGGGCCTAGGAAGACGTGACCCCTATGGTTAGGTTACGTCAGGTCAGGTCAGGTCAGGTCAGGTCAGGTTAGGTTAGGTTAGGTCAGGTCATGTCAGGTCAGGTCTGGTTAGGGCTTACTAAAAGAAGGGTCCACTAACACTAGATCCCTAAATATAATATATTAACTTAAGGGCCCAATAGAACTTGTCCCCGACCATGTTTACGTTTCACTGAGGGGCCTAATAGGACTGGAAGGGGCCTATTTCACCTACCACATGATATCACCTCAAGTACCCTCCGTGACATCCTCCACATCCTGATATCCTCCAATCCTCCACATCCTGACATCCTCCACATCCTGACATCCTCCAATCCTAACATCCTCCACATCCTGACATCCTCCAATCCTCCACACACTGACATCC